CTAAAAGTTTTTTTCCTCCGGAATCAAAATTCTAAAATGTATATCATGTTAGGTCGCGAGGGCCATGCAATATCATGAACTATGCAGGATGATTTATGTCTGTGGATCCATCACAAATATTATTGAAGGTTGATCAGAGACTATGGACCAAAATGGTCGAATCGCCTGATAATAAAAAACTATTCATTTTTATTTTTTATTTTTTTTATTAAACATGTGATTAATGATAGATCTTACGATTCGCAACTGGGAAACATGCACTAACTCAAACTTAAAAAACAAAATACTAAAAGTTCTATTAAATTTTGAATGTAAAGAGAAATATATTAGGCAATCAAACGGTCAAGTAAATCATACACATCGATAATTTATTTTTTTATCCTTCAAAGCAGGCCCATCCAAGGCCCACCACTAGTCTCATATCAACATACTTTTCTTGTTTTGGTTAAATCAACCTCCCATGTTGGCTGTTCTCTCCGCTCCTCTGTGTAAGATCACACCAACACCACTGCATAATTTCTTGTATTATTTTGAGACTTGAGAGTAAACTGATTGACAAAAAAAAAAAAAAAAAAAAAAATTGAGAGTAAACTAGTTTCTTGAATATTGATTTTTTCAGCTTAATTTGTTGGGGAAAGATATTACTACTATTGCTGTAAAAAAAAAAAAAAAAAGATATTATTACTATATTTGTAGTGATTTTATTTTGAAAATTCTCTTCACTTTTTTGTAGTTAACATTCTAATTTTATGAAAAGAACTTTTAATGTCAGGTCATGTCTCTTAAAAAGTTTGCATGATGAAATGATTTACAAATTACAATAGAAAATGGAAACCATTGCAAACTAAATTTTTATCAAAAAAAATCGAAAATAAAATGTATTGACTTAATAATGCTGTGTCTGCTACGATTAACTATTACACATAATGCAACACTGAATTATCCAAATACATTATTAGAATAATAGTATTACAGTACCACTATTACAACAACAATGTCAACAATAATCTTATTATAATAATATATAAATAGACCTTCGTGACATCATATTATATAGAAAACATGTGGTTGCCTAATTTGTATAAGCTAGATACTTGGGGGTGATGAGTGACTAGTTGATGCAATGATAAAAGAGTGAAAGTTTTGTCTGCCTGATTATAGACGTCGGAGAAATACTAAAATACGCTATGAAGATTTTGGCGCATGGTAGCAGAAAAAAAAAACGGAGGGTGTGAGTGAGTAGTGGTAGTCGGATGTGATGGAACAAAGAAAAGTATTTTTGGTAGGGTTATGGGAGAGAGAAGGGGACCATTATTACACACTTACATGCTTTCCCCAAAAGATACCATTCCCATTTTCTGACACGTGTCCCCCTCATCCCCAATTACTCATACGTCAAATCCAATTTTTAGCCTAAAAGTTTTTTTTATTTGTTTAGCCAAATCTATTTTACTAATTAAAGTTTTCAAATGGCAAATAGAAATATCTTCTAAGGTTTTATAAAATTACTTGATTATTTCTAGTTTTGCTCATTTTTTAAATAAAATTTCTCTTTTTTTTTCTTGCAACATTATTGATTTTTTTTTTGATAGGGAGTAACATTAGTGATGTTCTATCTCTTCTCATTGCAAAAACTTTATTTTCTCATCTCTATTTGATCATCATTGCGAAATCTTCCATTTTCAACAAATACTTTTCCATGTTAATATGCTGTTTCAAAATATAAGTGTTTGGAAAATAAATCAACAAGTTTAAATGTTAACTATTTTTATGCTATTATAATTATTTTTCTTATGGGTAAGTGGAAATTAATGTTACTCAAATTGGACATAAAATTCTATTGTTTGAGTGAAGGAGTTTATAAATGGAGCATTATTTTCTTGAATGGTTAGTTTTTCTTCTATCATTTTGACAAGTAAATGACTTTTCAGCCACTAAAGTACAACACTTTTTCATTTAAATTTAAAGCATCCCCTACATTAGATTGTCATTTTATTTCTCATAATGTTATAGAAAAAATGAATTTTGAGATCCCAATGTAGTAAATATATATAAAAAAAGGTTTAATATTGGCAATGACAAACAACGAACTTATGGAATTTCAACTTTTCACCTCCACGCGCCTCTGTCAGAGTTTTTTTTTTCCCCACTTGTGATGTAAAAAGGGGAAACGTCTGTGTCTCAGTCGGTAAACTTTTTCTCTCTTTTTTTTTTTAAAGATTTTATTTTAATTATGCCGTCTCTGTGGTCTAATCGTGTACGTCGTCTGGTTTTAAAAGCCTCTCTCACTTTGGTCTTTTCGTTTTCTCTCTTCCATTTTCTCCAACTATATAAAAAAAAAAAAGTGAGAGAGAGAGCAAATCTGTGTGATGGAAGTTGCTCTTGAGTTTGGGATTATTTATCTTTTCAATATCATTTGGTAAGCATTTTTATTTTGTTTTATAGTAATAATTTTAACTCTCTTATCTTCTTAATAAGTCTTTGCTTAATAGTGTTTTGGGGTCAGCATTAATTTCCCCTGTTTGGTTTCCAGAATATAGGTTGTATAGTGTGATGATAACAAATTATTCCAAGTTTTGCTTCAAACATTGTCAAAGTTTTTGTCATTTTCATTTCTTGAAACGGAAATTTTTCAGACTTTGTAATTTCTAATTCGAAAATTCGACAGATCT